CTCTTCCCCCTCCCCTCCCACCGCTCCCGGGGCTGCAGGTCCCAGCACTGTGTTAAGGGCACAGGAATGGGAGGGCAGAAGGGGGTGAAGGAGGATGCTGGGGGGGCAGAATGGGAGAGGACGGGGCTGCACTGAGGGCATGGGGCAATGCAGGGGATCAGGCTGAGGGGGATCATGAGGCTGAAGTACAAACCAGGACACACAATTAACCAAAACCGGGTTAATAGAAAAGAAAAGAGAAAGCTTTTACCACCACCACAGTCTTCCTGTTGCGAGCAGAATGACTGGACTGAAAGGCAACACCGTGTACGCGCCTGGAGAGACTCCACGGGCCTAGAACTTAGCTACAAGAAAAGCCAGAACATGGTTTAAAAGTGCAGACATCAGATCCTACACCCAACCCACCAACTAACGACACCTAACGGATTTATCGCACTTGCCCCTGTTCCGGAAAGTGAAGAACGGTTTCTTGGAGAGAGAGACGTGTCTCCCTCAGAAGCTGGCGGGAACTCTTCGAGACAAAAGAGGGAAAAACCCAAAATCCTTTGTCCCAGTTTGAAAGTCCCACCTTCTGGCAGGAGCAGTGAGACAGAGCCCCCGAGGCAATGCCCATGTGCATCGCCACGCCATCCTCCTCGAACACACAGCGCTGAGGGATGGAGGAGGGATTGCTCACTGCGCTGAGATGCTGCATCACACAGAACCCCTCTGACAGCCGGGCAGCTGTTCCTCCCCCCATGGGTGCAGCACATCTGGATACACCGCGGTGGGTTCTGGCCCTCTAGCCCACACACAGCAGGCTGCAAATGGGGAAGGTGCAGACTTTGCTGCTATGGACCGGACCAGTACCTGAGAATCAGCCTTTCCCATTGGTTCCCAGCTGCCTCTGCTCCGCCTTCTTACCCCTGGCCACATCACTAGTTCTGGACCCCTGCAGGTCCTTTCGTAGGGCAGGGCCTTTTACAAGGGAAGCAAAGGACGGGGCATCTGGGGGAAGGCTCATGTGAGTGCAGGAGAGAATGAGACACCGGGAGACAGAGGATGCCGTGAATCGTAGCGTTTATTGCTGCACCTCTACAGTAAAAGGCGGGAAGGGAACAGAGAACGGAGAGGGGGAAATCTCCAACATGTGAATCGTCTGCAGCACACGTGCCACAGGATCTCTCCCAGGCAGCGCTGAAATAGCAGGGGCTCCAACGCAGCGAGTTTCTTCTTACACGGGAATGAATTGGCCCCTCGATAGGAGAAGCAGGCGCAATGTGCAGTGAGTGGAGAAAGGCTGGAACGCTCCTAGAAACACGTCCCAGGGCAAGGGGAACGTCAGACGAGCGGAGTTAGGAGGAAGCTACTGTGCATGGGGCTGTCATTCGTGGTCCTTCCGTGGCTGTCGGTGGTTCCGTGGGCACTAACAAAGCCTCTTTTCCTTGCAGCACTGCTGCACCGGTGGGCATTTGGGAGGGCACGGAGGGCATGGAACGCACTTTTGAGGGCATGGACAAGGGCAAGGGCATGGACACGGATCCACACACTTAGGCGGGCACGGGCAGGGGTGCACACACGTGGTGCACTTCTTCACACAGACATTACAGCAGGGATCCACGCACTTGGTCACACACTTGGTCTCACAGACGTTGCAGCAGGGATCCAGGCACTTGGTGGTGCACTTGGTCACGCAGCATTGGGGAGGCGGGCAGGTCTGTTTGCATTGCTGCTGGTGAGCCATCTTCCTGGGGCGGGGGCAAACCTGGAAGACAAAGGAGGATTCTGGGATTGCAAAATGAAGTCCAATATTAGCTGCTTAGTCTCATACACCAGAACGTTCAGCAGAATCAGAGGCTGGTGCTCCAGAGAGGGGTTGCCATTGGGAAACAGCTGCAGGAAGAAGAAGCAGGAGGCAGCATGGACCGAAATCCCACTCGAAAGGCCGGCAATGGGATTCGCGGCAGAGCCACAAGACACCAAACAGCCCTGCTGGTAAGAGCAAGCAGCGGAAAGCCGGAAATCGAGCCCAGACACTGAGTTAGGGCCCAATGGCCGGCAGGAGACTTACCCAGTTCAGCAACAGGAGCAAGTGGAGAAGTGAAGTGGATTGGGGAGCAGCGGGGCACACGTCCTTTTATACGGCTCCATGGCCCAGTCTCCGGAAGTGAGATCTCCTAGAGCTATGCACGTCTCATTTGCATAAAGGAACTTGCTCCAATTACCCATCCTTCAATTACTTGTTTGCACCATTATTTTTAATAATTATTTGAAGAGGACACGTGTGACATAGTTGAGGACGTGCTGGTGATAAGTGCTGATGCCTGACCTACAAAATTCAGATCAGGAAATAGAATTCAGGAAACACTGGCAATCCTTTGCTTAAAATAAACGTTATGGATTTTCAATCATTTTTCTGTAGGCTCTTGCATCTTACTCCTAAGGCCTCAGTTACTGTTCACGGGCAGAGAGGTTTTTCTCTTCCTGCTAAAGTGCGGTCTCTGGTCATGACGTACCACAGATGTATCTGCGCGTTCAGAGATACACTGGGCCGCATGGGCCTTGGTGTTTTTAGCAGTTGAACATTCCAAATGGGGGCCATTGTTCGCTTTTACTGTTGCTGGAATGAGTATTTGCCGGGTGTCCCCCTAGATGACATTGGGGTCTTTGTTGGGTGACGTGGTGTCCTGTCCTCATGGAGCTATTTTGCACTGATACTTTCTTCTAATTCCAATATAGCCTGTAAGCTGCTGAGGCAGACGCTTATCTCTCTGCATATGAGGTGCCGGTGCTCCAATGGCGAGAACCATGACAAACCCAAGATGCCTTTAATGTGCGTGTGGAATTGTGTCAGGAGCTGGCATGTTCCCTCCTCACCCTTAAAGCCAACACGTGGGGGTCATGAAGGGCCCATCCTAGGGTGTCTGACAAACTTTCCTTTGTATCACCTGCTAGTCCCACTGAGTCAACTAAAGGGCCCTGTGGGCTCACAAGTTCAAGGCCATGAGGTGCGCGATGCTCCAGTGGGTTTGTATCGCAGAAGCCGGATTTGAGGCCCCATGACTTAGGCCAGGTCTACACAACACCGGGAAGGTCAGCTTAAGGTACACACTCTAGCTGTGTAAACAGCGTAGATGGAGTTGACAGACCTTAGTTGAGTTTGGAGCCATCTCCACAGTGGGAGGTCGATCGAGAAATGCTCCTTTTGACTTCCCTTACTCCTCAAGAGGGTGAGGCCTACCGGCACCAATAGGCACCACCTTGGTGTTTGATTCTACTAGACTTGCAAAATTGAACACCGGGAGATCGACTGCCACAGAGTCGTTCTTCCTGCAAGCAGAGACATGGCCTTGGCCTACAACACGGCCAACATGGGCATATCTTTCCCTGCCTTCAAACCTGGCCCCCCCGGGTGCCATGAGCCAGGCCCTACTTTGAGGACATGGGTTGGAAAATTACCTCAGATTCTTCTGATACATGAAATTGCCTCCTAGTGAGTCACAGTCATTAAGTACCTTACAGGAGGTAGCGTGATCTTGTGAATAAGGCATTGCAGGGAGAACGCGATGGGATTCCTGGGTCTGCCGCTGTCCATCTGTGTGGTATTGGATGAATCATTCCATCTCCTCCTAATGGCTTTTTCCCCTCCGAATGGCGAACCGCAGCAAATGGGAGCCCCAAAGCTCCGTGGCTCTGGCCACAGGAATGGCCAGTTAGCAGCTGTCATTCCAGCGGTGGGGCTGGGCTCCGGCAGCCGATCTCCTCCTAACTCTCCCTGCCAGGGCCACCTGCCCCTCCCT